GGTTCCTCTGGTCCAGGTGTGGTTCCTCTGGTCCAGGTGTGGTTCCTGTGTATCCTGCTGGTGTTGACACTCAGATCATAAATCATAACGTCCAGTCTAGAAGTGATAAATTCATGGATCAGTTGTTGTGCTTCATTAACGTTCGTCATCTTGAAGGGGTTGGAGTGTTGACTTGTTGAGTCAGACGTTAGAGCTCCACCTGTAAAGTCTTTCTTTGAATTTAGTCTTTACGTCTAGAAGTGAACAGATTCTAACTTCTGGCTCTCCGTCTCACTTAGCCCTGAAACCCTAAACATGTCACAGAGTAATGTGTGTTCCCAGCAGCTCTCAGAACTGCTCGAAAAGCATTTAGTCATGGTTATCGATCCGCGCCTGACGCTCTGTTGATTTGATGTAACTGAATCGTAGAGTTAACCCCGAGCTGCCGCTGCATCGCGTTACGGTCGGTCCGAGCCTCGGGGTGAAGGGCCAGCCAATTACTCTGTGTTTTCTTCTTCTGTGGTGGTGTGCCTCGCTGCAATCAAGCAGAGGCAGAGAATCAAAGAGCTGAAGCTCGGCTCGCTTTGTGGCGCCCAAGAGCTCAGTGTCACTGAAAACATTATGAAGGGCACGGTGGTACAGTGGAGAAGGTCGCTAGATTGACTCCCGGCCGGGGGCCTTTCTGGGTGGAGTTTGCATGTTCTCTCCGTGCATGCGTGGGTTTTCTCCGGGTACTCCGGTTTCCTCCCACAGACCAACAACATGACTGGTAACTCTGAGGCTGAATGGGTGTCTCGCTTGTTTTCTGTGTCCCTGTGAAGGACTTGAGACATGTCCATTGTGATCTCAGTGCTTCCCCGAGGTTCCTTGCCTTGCCAGGACGCTCATATCTTCTGTGATTTCTGTCGACGGGGGAGGGGAGAAGACGGAGACGTGTGTTGTGTGCTGTTTGTACTGACAATCTTCGAGCGGGTGGGGGTGGTAGAGACGGTCCGGCGTGAGGGAAACGGAGCGCCCGCTGTAGCTTGTTAGCTAGCCCGTCTGTATTGTGTGCCACTGGCTCAGTGCTACGTCAGTGCTGGCAGTTGTTGACTGGGGGTGGGGTTTAGGCAGAACATCTGGTTCTGTTGACAGGGTGTGACGCCCTGCTTGTGTAATGGTAGGAGAAACGCTGAGGCTGAAACTGTAAATAACAGAGAGGAAGTTTTAAACTGAGAATCTTCAGCCAAACTAATCATCCCTGAATCCAAAGGATCTTTTGTTCAAAAGAAACGTACAAGTTCTCAAGAAGTCGGTCTAATTTCTGTTCACTGGGACCTTTAAAGTCGACTTTTTAAGCAGGCGTAGCAACAACTCCTAATTTAAACAACTTTGAGCTTGGGTTGGGTTGTTTGCTCAAGTTTCCGTTTAAACTTGAAGATTGACATTTTGATCAAGCATTGATTTCATGTTTTTCATTAGCGGGGCAAATCAAAATAACGTGACTTAACAGTCCACTTAAAAACAGGTCCGAGACAACCGCTTCCTGTTTCTGTGAGGTTTATGAAAGGACCAAATGACCATGGGGGGCTGAAGTCATCCAGCTGCTGTTATGCTTCTGAGCTGACGAGGCTTTACAGAGTGGAAAGAGTTGAACAATGAAAGGATAAAACCTGAAGGCATGACGGAGAGATGCTTCTACCTTTTAATTCCTAATCAAAGTGAGTCTCCGTGGAGGCCGTGATCTATAACCATCATTTGTGTTTTGTGTTTATGCAAGGACTCTTTGGCTGGGTAACTTATTGTTGTTTGGAATAATTCTGACTTGTATAGATGGTTTGTAGTTGCTGAAGTTTTGATACAGTTCTTCTTTAAACGGTGTACTTTGTTCTGTGGTCCCTAATGGTTTGTCCTTTTGTTGTTTGAAGGTGGTCATGAGTCAGAGCAGCCCAGTAAACACATTCTAACTATCTTGGCCTTGTTTTTCTCTGTAAATCCTTGCACTGAATCAGAAGCTCGCCCCTCTCTCTTACTGTAAGTGCGTTACAAACGAGGTGCACTGGGGGCCGCCGCGCACGCCGACTGAAGCAGACTCTGAGGTTACGCCCATTGATCGGATCGGAGGCGTTTGTGGTTTCAGTTGAAGCTGCGTTCTGTTTGACTCTGTGTTCTGTGATTTCAGGGGCCGAAGGAGCCGTGTTCAGCAAATCGGTGGAGACGCCGCACGTCAGGGCCGAGCCGTTCAAAGAACTACGGTGAGACTGAATTCATTATCCGAGCAGAGATGGAAGAAGTTCAACAAACACACAGAAAAAATAAAAACTATTGATTCCACACAGAGTCACGATGCAGTGAGGGAGAGGTCTAGTTTAAAAGGAAACATTCATCCCTCCATCATCTTTACCCGCTTCTTCCTTTTCGGGTTGTGGGGGTCACTGGTGCCCATGTCCAGCAGTCTGTGCAAGGGGTGGGGGACACCCCGGACAGGTCTCCAGTCCATCACAGGGACACATAGAGACAAACGAGACAAACAACCATTCACTCTCTCACTCACACCTAGGGACAATTTAGAGTTACAGTCAGTCTAACATGCATGTTTTTGGTCTGTGGGAGGAAACTGGAGTACCAGGAGAAAACCCACGCATGCACGGAGAGAACATGCAGACTCCACCCAGAAAGAACCCCGTGCTGGGATTTGAACCGGCGACCTGCTCGCTGAGAGGCAGCAGCTCTACCAACTGCACCACCGTGCCGCCCCATGGACTTAATCAAGGACACAAAATACACTAAATAACATAACTTCAATTTAAAAATTAAACAAGGTGCGTGTGATCTGATGAATAATACTGAATAAAATGAAATGCATCGTATTCTGAAGTGATAGGTTTTTAAAAGATTCAAACGTTAAACCATCGTTAGCCGTAGTGTCTCACACCTCTCTAATAATCTTTGCTGTGGAATTTAAAACAAAAACATTGTGCATAATTATAAATAAAATGTATATAGATGTATATAGATTAATCTCTACAGAATCATATTATTTTTGTAGAGGTCTAGTAGAGTGCTGTGTGTGCGTGCGTGTGTGTAGTAGAGTGCTGTATGAATGTGTGTGTGTGTGCGTGCATGTGTGTAGTAGAGTGCTGTATGAATGTGTGTGTGTGTGTGTGTGTGCGTGCGTGCGTGTGTGTAGTAGAGTGCTGTATGAATGTGTG